AGTTCTTAAGAGGAGAGGCATTCGAGTTAGGGGTGTAGGTGATGAAAGAAAGAGTTCTGAGAAAGAGAGAATGGAGGGCTCCTGATAAGAGTGAATCCAGCACTTCTGTGACACATCTGAATAACCCTAGTGCCTTGCGCTGTCTGGCACCTGAGGCTCCTCTCGCTTTCACCTTATTGTTAACATTTACTCATGGTGACCCCACTCCCCAAATTCTATTTGAATAATGCATGCTGGTGCATTTTGGCTGAGATTTTTATTTTAGGCCTGTGGCCAAGGAGCAGAAGGAAACTGCAGCACAGGATAAAAGAGATTCTCTCTCTCTCTCTCTCTCTCACACACACACACACGCATGCATGCATGCACACACACAAGCACAGTACGAAATAAGACCTTTCTTTTTACCAGCAGATTTGTGTGATGACCACATTACAAGGAAGTGGCAACTTGGTGAACACATTTCAACGCAAAAACAGGGACTAAGAATAATTTGCGGTTTTCAGATATTTTTGAAATTCAGCCCATGTTAAGAAATACATTTCATATTATACCAGTATAGCCTTGAACAATTGAAGCACAATATCAACATGAAAAACTTAAATTTACAGAGTGTGTTACTGTCTGATATATTATTTTACATTACATTTCAATTAAAAATATATTTATCAGAAGTAAACAACATGCTCTACAATCACGACTGGGTCAAATAAAAAATGACATTAGAAAATATACTAATATAGGGCCGGCCCGGTGGTTCACTGGATAAGTGCGCCGCTTGGGAAGCGCGGCGGTGCTCCCGCCCGAGGGTTCGGATCCCACATACAGACCGGTTCCCGCTCGCTGGCTGAGCGAGGCGCGGGAGCAACACCGAGGGTTGCGATCCCGTTGCCGGTCCCCGGTCCGGTACGGGGGCAACACTGAGGGTTGTGATCCGTTGCCGGACACGGAAAAAGACAAAAAAGACAAAAAAAAAAAAGATTTCCAGCTCATTATTGCACACATTAAATC